CAGATGGCAGCCTGAGGCAAGTGCAGCCGAGCTGATGGCCGAGTGCTGTGATGTGCCGAGTGTGGGCATTCAGGGCACTCCAAGCCAGGACTGCTTTGCAAGCGGGGAACCCCTGAGAACTGTCTGTCTGGGGTGGGGGTCAGGACCCTTTAAGCACAGCCCTCGGCTAGCCTGAGACAGCAGCTCCACGCTCTAAGTCCTAACCGGATGCCCTGCCAGCACTGCTTCCGGCCATCCTTAACCTCGGTTCAGGGTCCACTCAGTGTGGACATGCTAGTTCGAATTAGCAAAATGCTAATTAGAACTAGTTTTTAAATCTAGATGCGCTAATTCGAATTAGCTTAGTTCAAATTAACTAATTCGAACTAAATTAGTTTGAATTAGTGCTGTAGTGTAGACATACCCTGAGTTATTGTGGATATGGTTGCCACACAACAGTTTATGGATAAATTATACTCTCTAATCATAAAAAGTAATTTTCTTAATCCACCACATTAAAACCACATGCCCAAGTCTATCCTTTCAAGAGTGAAAAGGAATTCTATTTTACAAGTCTAAGTAAAATCTTAAAGTCAAACAATGAATTCCATTCTAACAAATGTCAGCTGAAAAATTAAAAGTTTCCTGTATACTAACGGCTTTAATCTGTACTTAGTAATCCACTGTTCTGAGATTTTTGCATAACGTACATGAAAAAGTAACACAAGCTCGTATTAACATTTAAATTGAGTTAAATCAGTGAATTCTTATTTATAAGTCTGTCTTCACCTTTGGAAGCTTCTGTGGAAATTCCCCCAAAATATAATAGGAACAAATACATCAGTTTTAAATAAGAGGAAGTTTCAACTATATTGCTCTCAAAGACTAAAAAATAAAACAAAATATAAAATATGTAAATTAAAGCTGGCCTTGGTAATCTATGTGTGGTCTCAGCTCATAACATAACAATCAATACATTCAGCTATGTAAATAAAATAGCTGGAATCAATGTACCTTAAGGTGAACTTTGGAGCTGTTCCCACAGTGGGAGGTCAGAAGGAGAAACGTTCCCATTGGCTTCCCTTATTCCTCGCAACTCCTTCTTACTCTTCCTTTACTAGACCCTTGCACTAAATCGAACACTAGAAGATTGACTGTGGCACTCTTTCTACAAGTCTCCACATGGCCTAAGAGAACATTTTGCCTGGAGAGTTATCTTTCTGAAGGAAGCAAGCAAGAAACCTGAGCAAAATTGCAACTAGTTAATTCACCCGGCTTTATTTCTAATTCAAGAATAACCTAAAATAATATCTCGGGAGAAGAAAAGGAAATGTCTATAATTAGAGAGTATTTAAGAAGCACAGAAAAAGGTTATTTATGTTTCTAAATAAACAGTTTTAAAAGTCAGCAGTATACTCCAGAAACATCTATCAGCAAATGTTATAAAATTCTCTGCATCATAGCTGCTTCATACAGCACAACAATTGGTTACAAGAGAATCTCCAAGTGTCTCAGGAAAGTGGTGGAACAAAATGCAGGAAAAGGTCCAGCTGCAGGAGGGAATTCAAAGCAGAAACAAAGGTAGAAGCAAAAAGCAGAACAACAAAAGCAGCAGTTGGAGTTTGAGAGCCGGATATTCAAACATTCAAGAAAACATCACACATAGATATAGCTAAAACAGAAGGAGGAGGAAATATACTATCTGTAACATAAGGAAAGAGCCAGTCCACCCAGGAAACAGACACATATCATCAGTTTGGAAAAGGGTCCCATACTCCTTGTGATTGCTGATTTAAAGATGCACATTGCAGAAGGTGCAATAAAAAAGTCATATTCAAACAGTTAGTTACGCTGGAGTAAATAAGGAAGAGACCAAATTAGGATATAGAAAAAGGAATATCAATGTACACCCTGTAGACAGAGGCAGACACCTCTGAGTAGCTACTGTGGATATAGCGTGAGCAATAATTACATGTCAGCAATCAGGTAGGCACCCGAATGGTGGGGAAAATTATTGAAATGGAATTGGACGCTGCCCCCATAGTCATATGTTTGGATATGAGAAAAGTTTAAAAAAAAACTAAGAGGGGGAGATATCAATGTTACTAAAACATAGATGGGAGAAAAGATAGTACCAACTAGAATAATGCAACAGAATGTTGAGTTTAACAATAGATAATATTTCTTAGATTCATATATCGTTGAGAAGGGAGGCTCAGCCTGGTGGGGCTATGAATGGTTACGTAAAGTTTCTCTGGATTGGAAATCTAGAAAGATTTATAAAGTCACTTTGGCTGTGTCCAGACTCAGGGTTTTTTTCGAAAAAAGTAGCCTTTTTTCGAAAAAACTTCATCTGCGTCTAGACTGCAGCCGCGTTCTTTCGAAATTAAATCGAAAGAACGCGGCTTTTCTTTCGACGGCGGTAAACCTAATTCCACGAGGAAGAACGCCTTTTTTCGAAAGTGCTCTTTCGAAAAAAGGCGTTCTTGAAAGCAAACAGGGCTTTTTAGAAAGAAAGCATCCAGACTCACTTGCTGCTTTCTTTCGAAAAAGCGGCTTGCTTTTTCGAAAGTTCCGCGTGCTGTCTAGATGCTCTCTTTCGAAAGAGGCTTTTTCGAAAAATACTTTTGAAAAAGCCTCTTTCGAAAGAGGCTTGCAGTCTAGACATAGCCTTTCAGAACACCACACTAAAACAGCTGAACAGCAGCTGGAAGAGATACTATGTCGGGCACTGAGAACAATCAAGTAGGGCACGGGAGTTCTAAAATGCATGAAGGCTAAAATAAGTCTAGCCAAGAAGGCACAACCCACGTTTCACAAAACTCAGCCTGTTCCTTTCAGTATTCACTCAAAGGTATGGAAATGGAAAGTCTATGCAGAAAGGGCCTACTTTCAAAAGTATCCTGGAGAGAGTGAGGAAAAATGTGGTGTGGTAAAGGTTTGTGGATATTTTAAGTATCTGCAAATGGAAGTTCAGAAAGAATCTAAAGCAAACCTCGCAATATACACTCAAAAGGTTGTGTGCCAGCGTAACAGGTTAGTGTTTACTATTGCTTCAGCTCCTGCCATATGGCAATATAGTTTTGCAAGGTATTCTGAGAATACCATGGTATTTGGATGACATGACTGGGTGTGTCTAGACTACAGGGTTTTGTCGACA